TGACCCCCAGTATCCCAAGGGAAGTCCTGGAATGCTTTGGGTTGGAAGGGACCTTCCCAGGGAAGGATTTGCTCCCAGTATCCCACCTAAACCAGCACAGGGAATATCCTGGAATGCTTTGGGTTGGAAGGGACCTTCCCAGGGAAGGATTGACCCCCAGTATCCCAGAGGGAATCCTGGAATGGTTTGGCTTGGAAAGGACCCTCCCAGAGAAGGATTGACCCCCAGTATCCCAGGGGGAATCCTGGAATGCTTTGGGTTGGAAAGAACCCTCAACATCCTCCTAAGGAAGGATTTGCTCCCAATATCCCACCTAAACCAGCACAGGGAATATCCTGGAATGCTTTGGGTTGGAAAGGACCTTCCCAGGGAAGGATTGACCCCCAATATCCCACCTAAACCAGCACAGGGAGTATCCTGGAATGGTTTGGCTTGGAAAGGACCCTCCCAGGGAAGGATTTGCTCCTAATATCCCACCTAAACCAGCACAGGGAGTATCCTGGAATGCTTTGGAAGGGACCCTCAACACCCTCCCCCCCAGACCGGGCTGCTCCAAACCCCGTCCAACCTCATCCTCCGCCACTTCCCAAGGCCGGGCCGAGACGACCCGACCTAAATCCCCCCCAAATTTCCCCCCCCAGAAAAAGCTGGGAACGCTCCTTTCCACCCCCTTCCCTCCTCACCTGAGGGCCCTGCTGAGCTTGTCATAGTTCATCTGGGGTTTGCATTTCCTCCTGCCCCACAGCCGGGCCACCTCGTCGGGGTCCTTGATGACGAACTCGCCGTACTCTCCCTGCTGCCAGGCGATGACGTGGCGGAATTCCTCCTTCTGGAGCAGCTCCAGGATGAAGTGCCACAGCTGGATCTGCCTGGAGCCGGGGCTGGACTCGGTTTTATAAGCCCACTCCGGGAAATGATACCCTTTGGGAAGAGAGAAAGAGAGAGAGAGAGAGAGAGAGAGGGGAAAAAGTCGCTCGAAAAGACGCGGAAACGCGTCCGGGCTTCGCTCCGGGCCGGAATTCCGTCGGATGTTCCAGGGTTAAGAGGGGTTTTCGTGGATTGAGGGGATCCCCCCCCCCCCCCCCCCACCTCAGATGAGAAATTTGTGGGGGTATCTGAGAGATTTTTATGGATGTTTGAGTGGTTTCTATGGATTGATGAGAG